GACTTCGACATTATATACACTTGTATCCTTCAATTAGAGTGAGCTCACGTTCTGCTATCACTATTGCGATAACTAACTTACGGTGGTTCACAAATAACGGCAACAAAATTTGGCAATGGATAAAGAATGACAAAAATAAAACAGTTCTACAAGGTTAAAATCACTAATCATCGTACATACAACTAATGTTTTAATATTGTACTTTTTAGGCCCTTACTGAAAAACTAAATTAAACAGAAAACGATAATTGGAAGACGATTATTTTTTAAATCTTTATTATATTGTATTATTTAATGTATTGCAAAATGGCAAAAGATGTATTCTTGACAAGTAACGTGCTTTTCCATTTAATAATTTATTCTTTCTTAAACTAAGAAATATTGTAATATTTTGTTTATACAGTATTTAGTGTATTTAATGCAAAGAATTATATCTTTAATTTTTTGTAAGAGCTTTGTAATTATGTGAGCTTTGTAATTATGAGAGAAAATGTAAAAAGAAATAAAATAAAAATGGGAATAATGTCTACTTATTTTAAATAACGTCAGGTGATAGTTTCTGATAGCTGTACAAAAAAAGGAAATTTTTTAATTTTTGGCCGTTTTTACTACAAATTCGTAGTTCGCCTTCTTACATTTTACGTCTATTTCAATTCTATAAAAGCGATTTCAAATCCGTTCAGTCGTTTTGGAGTTATCCTTGCGACTGCAATTGTCAGTAATTCCAGCCGACCTTTCAACATTGCGTAAGCAATGACGAATCGGATATTATATTATCTTGCATTAAACTGTGCAATATAGCAGTAGACTGTCGACTTTCGACGTGTAACGTTGTGCCTTGTGAAATCATCTTTGTTATAAACTGCGCAATAGATAAAATTATAATATTCAAGAAACATTTACTAGCTTTTTGTTGTGATATACATATATATAATAAATATGATATATATAATTGCTTTGTCAATAATAGTAGGTGCTTTAGGCCTTTATTATTATTTATTCTACAAGAATTTGAATTATTTTAAAGAACATGGCATACCATACCGACCGCCTTCTTTACTTAACACTATAAAATTTGTGTTATCGCCTCAAAAACCGCTAAATGAACTCTTCAAGGATTTGTATGATCTATATCCTGAAGCTAAGTATATTGGTTTGTTTGATTTGAACGTTCCACTTCTAATGCTTCGCGATCCCGAGCTTATTAAATCCATTACGTTAAAAAACTTCGCGATATTCCCGGATCATCGCAATTTCATAGATGAAAATCAAGATCCATTATTTGGGAATAATCTTTCCTCTCTGCGCGGAGATAAATGGCGACATGTACGACCTTTATTGAGCCCAGCCTTTACGTCCAGCAAAATGAAAACTATGTTTAAGCTAATGTCGGAATGCGGGGTTAATTTCGGTAATTACTTGGCACAATTACCACCTAAACAGAAGACAATGGAGATGAAAGATGTCTTTGCAAGATATACGAACGACGTGATTGCTACTTGCGCTTTTGGTGTTAGTGTTGATTCCATGAGAAATCCGGAGAATGAATTTTATGTATACGGCAAAGAAGCGATCTCTTTTAACCATACTGTTTTGTTAAAGTTATACATATATCGAATTATGCCTTGGTTGACATACATAATCGACTTGAAAATCATTCGTTCAAAAATAGCAGATTTCTTCCGAAACATCATAGAAACGACTATAAAAACCAGAGATAAAAATGGTATTGTCCGTCCTGATATGTTGCAATTGATGATGAACNGAATAGAGTAAGATGAGTACCGATGATATAGTATCCCAGGCATTCGTCTTTTTCTTTGCTGGCTTTGACACTACTTCAACATTAATGTGTTTTGCCGCTCATGAAATTGCGGTAAATCAGGACATACAAGAGAAACTTCAAAATGACATTGACAAAGTTTTGGAAGAAACAAATGGGGAAGCACCTTACGAAGCGATTAATGGCATGGAATATTTAGATGCTGTGATTAATGAAGCTCTCCGAATGTATCCGGTTGCTTTAATAACGGATAGAGTATGCGTAGAGGATTTTGAGCTACCGCCAGCATTACCAGGATTGAAACCATTTTCTTTAAAGAAAGGGCAAGGTATATGGCTACCAATTTATGCACTTCAGCATGATCCCAAGTACTTTGAGGAGCCAGAGAAATTTGATCCTGACCGATTTCTTGGTGAACGAAAAAAGGATACTCTCAACTCCGGAGCCTACTTTCCTTTTGGTATTGGTCCTAGAATGTGTATAGGTAACAGATTCGCATTGTTGGAGACAAAGGTCGTACTGTTTCATTTACTGGCCCGTTGCAATTTGAAAATCTGCGAGAAGACGTCAAAACCACTCAAGATTGCTAAGGCCAGCTTCAATATGAAGGCTGAAGGTGGTTTCTGGTTGAAGGTGTTACCCAGAACAGATGCGCATTACACTCTTACAACTAATGTCAATGGAACGCGTTAAATGTAAGAAAGTTAAAAGAATTTTTTATAATTTTTTAAAATTTGGAAATAAAAGAGATATTTTAAAGGGAAATTTAGAATTTTTTTTTTAAATTAATAAAAGATAATATAATATAGTCTGTCTCTCTCTCTCTCTCTCTCTCTCTCTCATAATGACATTAATCTCAATAAAAATAATTTCAATTTTGTAAAATTGTTTAAGTTTTTAAAAATATATGATATTTGTAGAACCTTATAATTTAAAGTAATTTACATATATAAAAGAACTTACAAAAATGAAGGAGACTGACCAAATAATAAAGTTACATTTTAATGTAATGTAATTTAAATTTTTTAGATAAAATGGAAACAAAAAATAGATACCAAAATGAACGTGAAATTATACATTATTTTCTTAATTATTTGGCAAGAAGTTGCTTATGTTGCTACAAATGTAAGAAATAATGGTATTCTTGCATTAGAAGTATTTTCAGAACATAAAATGTAGTAATATTATTATCTTTTGTATTTATTATCTACCTGTAGATTATGTTATATATCTTACTATATATTATTATATACATATATCTTATCACTTATTAAAAAACAGTAAGAGAAGAGAGTATGAAAAAAAAACAAATTGAAACTAATTGTTAGCTTGCGTTGTTATTATCAATCAATTTGTAATGCTTTTTTCATGATATATTATTGTGCAGTTATCATAACAATCTCGTACTTTTATCATAATAAACTTGTACTTTTTAATTGCATATCCATTACTTTCCTCATTACATTTCTTTAATATTTATAGGAAATATTTTCATACTTTCTGTATAATGACATAACGTGCTGGTAAGAGTAACATAAACGATGATTTAATTAGGCAAGCATTGATTATATAACTATATATACATATCAAATACTATATACATAACTATATAGTATATACATAATCAAAATAAAATCTATAGTTGCAAATAAAATTTGTTATCTAATAAAACGAACATTTCTTAATAAATTGATATTATTAATACATATTGATATCACTAATTGATATCAAATAAAATTCTAATAATAAAACATTTCTCTCTCTCGAGAAATATTATATGAAATATAATAGTTTCTTCTATCATTGTTTTTTTGTTTAAGCTATATTCTTTCTTTGTAACACACATCGCAGAAAATATTTACATTCTCTCTTTCATTCAGAGTACAATATTTTTATTAAAAACTGTACAATTATTACAAATTATTAGTTTGCGCGATTATTATTAGTTATATTGAGGTGATATCTTACGACATATTATACGAAACATATTTCATTCTGCTCAAAAATATCTATCTTATAATTAGGTGAGTTGCAATGAGTTACAAAATAAAATAGAAAACTTACGATAATATTGTAGTTTATTTATCAAAAAATATCCAAAATGCGAATAGATAATAAATAGATTATTCAGAGTTTAAAGATCTATTAAATTAAACATTTCATCGTAGTGAGATCGTTTGGTACGCGGTCTTGGTCATTGTTTTCAAGTACGCCGGATTATCGGCGTACTATCACTGCTATATCACCCACTCAACTCGTGACGCTCGAACAAACAGATGATATGTAATTCTCCCTACTTTAACTTTTTTTATCATAAACGCAATTGCGACGAGTACTATATGATTCCGAAGCGTCGTTATACATTGCAATTTTTAGGCTGAGTTTGCACGATCTTAATTAATTAGCAATTCTCATGAGTATTGTGTACAACGCACAATTTGACAAGAGAAAGATCAGAGAAAGGAAGAGAAAATCGAAGGAGAAGCATCGGGTAACAGTGCAAAACAAGTCATCTTGGAGTGAAAAGGAAATTATTATATTTATTTTAGGATAACAAATCTTTAAAAATTGTATTATATATATCAGATTAGATTTTTATGTCAGTCAAATTATAATAGTACTATAGATAGAAAGTACTATAGATAAATATATAATATCTCATAGATCCGTTGCTTTAGAATGGATAGGTAAAATAAATTGTCTATATAGCATAATCTTGGATCCATTCTTTGTCAATTTATAAAACTATTTCAGAACACACTTAGAAAGCTCATAAAATAGATTGAATAAAGTTGATTGGATTATTGTTTTGAACTCCTGATATTATATCACAGTTTCAAAGAAAGAATATTTTGACATTAAATCATAATTAATTATCATAAAACAAATAATCGATGTGCATTCATATTTTATGCTAACAACATATTCTGTAATAATGAAAACATTCTTTTATTGACCGATCTTACGCGAAGGTTTTGAGCATAAAAATCGCATAACCATGACATTTTGATAGCTGAGACATATCGATACGTAATATTAAACTATTGAGTACAAACATTTTGAGTTACTTTTATATAGAATTTTTTTACGAATAAACACAAAGCAGTTTACTTAATAAAATTCTTATTGCATAATATTATCTATACAATATTTATATTAAGAGCGCGCGCGCGTTCAATTCAAGGAAGCACCTTAATTAAAATTGTCTTGATAAAATCAATGTATTTTTATCCCATTAGCAATTTTAAAAGATTTTATTTTTACAAAATTTTCTAGACAGATATATTTGTAACGATTGTACAGTGTTACAAATTCTCTGTATTGATAACAGATTCTTTTCCTTCAAGAACAAAAATATCGATTTTGTTAGATTGCTCAATATAGAAAATATTACAGTATTACACATATTATATAAGTGTATAAACAATAATAATACAGAAATTAGTACGTAGAATATTAGGAATTTATAAAGATATTCTATGGCAATTCTGCAAATTATTTGAAGGATACGAAAATAGAGTTATAATTATGACAGAATCTCCTATTCACCTTATTGCCTAAATAATTAAATGAAAATTTGTTATATTGTAATTTGGTATTAAATTTAATTTAATTATAATTTGCTGTTAATTGATATCAATCATGTTACATATCAGCTGTAGTAAGTAAAAAACATAGATAACAAATATGTTCGAAAATATTGAATAGACAGTAACCTGACGAATCCAATATTCATTTCAATATGTTCGCTGCTCGTCTAAAAGGCACACCAATAACAGAAGCCAATTACATAAATTATAATTATTATAGTACACAATAGATTCATTACGCATTGATGCTATTCCCGAAAGAGTCTGATCACGCACTGGAGCAGTGATGGGCAATGAACGTGTTAATTGTAAAAATCAATTCGTCATTGTTATTATGTTGATAACAACAAAGATAAGTAACACAATATACTTAACTTCATCTGCGTGAGCGATAACGAATCGGATGCCATATTAGATTGCGTTAATCTGTGCAATAGCAGTAGACCGTCAACTTTCGACGTGTAACGTTGTGCCTTAGTGATATCATCTTTGTTATTAACTGCCCGATAGATAAAATATTCAAGAAACATTTACTAAATTTTTGCGGTGATATATGATATATAATCAACATGATATATATAATCGCTTTGTCAGTAATAGTAGGTGCTCTAGGCCTTTATTATTTGTTCCTGAAGAATTTGAATGATTTTAAAAAACATGGCATACCACACCTGCCACCTTCTTTACTTGGAAGTACATTATTTCGATTATTGCCTCAAAAGCCGCTTACTGAAATTCTCAAGTATTTGTACAATCTACATCCTGAAGCCAAGTACATTGGTATATTTGATATAAATGTTCCACTTGTAATACTTCGCGATCCCGAGATAATTAAATCCATCACGTTAAAGAACTTCGAGATATTCCCGGATCATCGCAATTTCATAGACGAAAATCAAGATCCATTATTTGGGAAAAATCTTTTCTCCCTTCGCGGAGATAAATGGCGACAGGTACGACCTTTATTGAGCCCAGCCTTTACGTCTAGCAAAATGAAAACTATGTTTAAGCTAATGTCGGAGTGCGGGGTCAATTTTGGTAATTACCTGGTGCAATTACCACCGGAGCAAAGAATAATGGAGATGAAAGACGTCTTTGCGAGATATACTAACGATGTGATTGCTACTTGCGTTTTTGGCATTAGTGTTGATTCTATGAAAAACCCGGAGAATGAATTTTATGTATACG